TTAATCTCATTTTGGAGGATGGTGCCTTTTGCCAGCACTGTATCAACACCAGTTTGGAAGGAGAATGTAACAAATGCAACCTGGAAATTGATATGCAGTTTGTGTACCCTTACTTCTCAAAAATAACCAGTGAACCAGAATTGTTGACAGCCATTCTGAAACCTCAGAGAAGTATGCACACCTGCATTTCTGTTCACCAAAAGAAGTCATGTTTCACATTGAATTTTCATTAAAAAAAAAAGCAATTCTGTCAATGCAGAAACAATTAGGTGGATGGTTTCTTGGACATTCAACACTCTGCAGATGAATCAAGTGGAGGCCTTGGTTATCAGTGCACCAGCAGGACCTCTAACATTATTGGGAAGTGCGAGCTTTAAAACAATTTACTTTCTGATTTGCTATAGAATCAGCAGTATCTTGAAGACATAATAAAAAATCAGCTCTCCAAAACATTCTATCAAAAGCAGCACTGTCTGAGCAGGTACTTTAAATAAGACACTGTAATTACTTTACAATAAAGCACCTTGCTAGTCTGAGCAAACTAGAGAAATTGCCCAGATGATGTTTCATTCAGTCAGGACCTTAAGTGCTAATCCTAAGTGGGAAGGATTTCTGTATACTTCTGGAATGGGAGGGAACTTTGTTCACCACTTATTTCAGTGCATTTGGGCCAGACAGTTGCTGTTTTGTTTCCATTGTGCTCTAACAGGCAAAGACGTGATGCAGAATGCAGGGGACTGATGTTCTGCTAAGCTCTGGTACAGAGATGACTGTGAAAAGGAATGAAATACATTCATTTTGCTTCTGATATGGTCTTACAGTCAAAGATACAAAAGCAATGTATTTGCCACAGTTCTTCATTTCAAAAAACGATTGATCAGAAATTCCAAGAGAAGATATATGAAGTCAATATGTGCCTAAAATGTGCAGAAAATCACTTTGGATAGCTAAAGAAGGATGTCCAGCAGCATTTTGGTACTTCAGGCATCCTACTGCCATTCCAACAGGTCCTCTGCTAACTCTATATGGATGTTTCATCTGGTTAAGGGCATCTCAAGCGGTGTTAAGAGCCTCAGTTTAAGTAGTGAAATCCCAGCCTCTCCTGTCAGAAGTAATACATATGCATATATGCACACACAATGCTCCCATGATTAAAGCAGTATGTCATTAATTAGAACCAACTAATAAACAGCATCTCAGTCATGTTTCGCTCGGTCTTGGAATGCTTGTTTATTCCATAGTCATGAAGTTTCCTGTAAAGCAAATACCTTGAGAGTACAGTGCTATAATTACATGATGAATAAATGGATGGTGCTTTGACAGATACAATACAAGACATAAACTCAAGTTAGGGTGTCCTGCTAATATAACAGAATGCAACAATAACATCTGAGCAGCAAAAGAACTCTGCAGCCGAATAATTTTCTTAGCAGGGTTACCATTAATATAAAACGGCTAATTCGGTATTTTTGGAAATTAAGCATCTTTTTTTTAATGCAACCAGGATCTTGCAATTAAGCTAAACAAAATTGGAAAGGGTAACTTATTTAGGGATTCACAAGCACTTGGTATAGCAACAGATCGTGATGCCAGGCAAATTCATAATACTTTTCATCAATTGTGACCATGGCAAAAACCAAACAAACATGGGATTTTAGAAAGAAGCTGGGCATCGAAACCTCAATGACCTTGGATTCATCACATTACTGGAAATCCTAAGAGGAGTCTGTGAGGAAACTCGGAAAGAACATGGAATAGCACCCAGGTATTCTCTCTGCCTGATCCCATCTTTAGCCAATAGCTTGCATATACCCTCACAACACTGTGTACCTAAGAAAGGGACACAATGGGAAAAAATTCCACATGGAACTTAGAAAAAAAGAAAAAAAACAAGACTTTTAATAATCAATCTTCTAGCTCAGCCTTGTTATATGTCTAACTGATAAAATCTTTGCTTCATTTGATGGAAATGAGCGGAGTCCAAAAGCTTACTGCTTACTCTTTGAAGTTCTACTGGCACGCACTTACAGTAGTGACCTATTTAAATCCAGCCAGTGAAACTGTACTGTTCCTGTGTCAGGTTGGGGGTCAGCAAAGTCAGCAAAGCTACAAAGGGCTATTTCATATGACAAGAGTATGACAGGAACCTACTGAGCACTGTTCTTGTTCTTCAAGTCAAGCCTGGGGAAAAAAATAAAAAATGAAAGTTCAGGGACAAATTTTGGTTTCTGTTCCACTTGGAAACTAAGCAATCATTTCTCTTCAAAGAACCATACCACATCTTGATCTATAAAAACATAAGAACAGATTGAATTTGCATTAACGTAAACAGGCATCTCTGAAAAGAACACAGAGTACTCAAAAGCGTGGACGTTTATGCTAGTACTTTCTAAAACTGTTACTGCGTATACTGTATACAGATAAATGTAAATGCTGTCTTCTTTTAAAATATTTTCTTATTTCAGTCAACTGGGAAAATTATGTAATTGCAGAATTGGAAATTCAGGAAAAGAATTTTCAGCCCTCCTTCTTTTGGGACTTGGAAAACTGCAGAAGAAAGAAAGTGGCCAGTGGTGATCTCCATCTACCGAAAAGACGAAACTGGAAATAGCTACTTCCAAAGTTCAGCTCCTAACGGCAAACTGGAAAGCTGAAAGTATTTTCCAAATTTTAGTAATGGCAATATTTCCATCTAGAGTCCACTGTCTTTCCTGAAAATGCATTCTGATCAACTGGAACCACAGATTAAGGCCTGCATAGGACACCCATGCTCATGTCAGCACAGACAAATTCTTGGATGCTGACCAGCTGTGTAACTCACACAGCTACCCAAAATGAGACAAAAATGGTCTACCTCCCTCCTACTCTGTAAAAAAAGTGGTCTTCCTCCATTCCTACTGAATATCCTCATGGCTTCATACACCATTACGAGACAATCTAACCCATGGCTGAAGACTAAATGCCCAACGCGCTCCCTGCCTGCAGTACACCAGCAAGCACTCGGCAGCCTGCTCACTTCTGGGCTTGAGCACCCAAACCTGGATGTGCCACAGACATTGTCTTGAGGGCTCAGACAGACAAACTCTTCCAAGTGCTTTGCTTTAAAAGGAAACCATCTGATTATCTAAGCTCAGATTGCTTGGTTTGAACAGCATTTTTTGCTAATGAAAAATGGCTGAGAAGGCAAGGAATTAACAAAGAATGCTTTGCCTTTAGAAAATAATAGCTTCCTGAAGTAGAATATGGAGAGTGTTGGCTTCCAGAAGTTTCTCCCCTTCAAAGCAACTTTGAAGGATTTCTTAAAATAAACAGATATGTTTGGGGCATCATGATATTTCTAAGTAAATATATGTAAGTTGTTTTGTTTTTTTTTTTGTCTGTTTTGTTGTTGTTGTTGCTCTGAAACTAAAATTTATTTATTTAAACAATATAAAAATAGAACCAGAAAAAAACCACACAAGAAACAACCACGCATAAAACCATTTGCACATTATGAAATAAATATCGCTGGCCCAAACTATCTATCTCTTTGGTTCTCAATTTAAGGGAAATGTCACAGTTAGGACTTTTCTCCTAAATTCTCACAGATCAGGAAACCTTTCCTTACCTAGATGTGCTTCATCAAATTTGCTCTTGCAAATGACTGAGAGGAACACAGGGAAAGAAAAGCTAAGTAGCATTAAGGGTTTCACAGCCTGGCACAGATGGGCTAAAGCTTCTTGATTCAGGAAAAAAGCTAATTAATTAACCCAGAGCTTCATCAACATCGAAATCCTGGAAGAGGCTCTTGGCTGCCTCTGAATCTCAATAAAACTGCCCTTCTGCAATTGTAGAAGCATCAATGCCTCCTCAAAGATGCAGAGCAGAACATATGTGTTGGGAGCTGTCTGCTTAACAGCATAATCCTTCTTTCCCTTTATGAACAGTGAGCTCTCAAGCTCCCTGAAGCAAAGAAATCAGGTGAGGAAATATTTAAACAGTGAAAGAGGAATTTATATGCCACTGATAAGCTAGGAGTTGTATGGAAATAGAGAACGAAATTGAAAGAAGCAAAATCTTTCCATCACTGACCTCTGTCTTGCAGTGCCTACGTGCAAAAGCAGAAACACTACTTAATTTCACTGATGACCACAGTCTGAATTTCACAAAACGGGTTCCCGTTTCTTATCCAGAAGATGATATAATCTTGGCTATTGTGCGTTTTTCCCATTTACCCATCACTGTGGCATGGCCTCTCCTCCCATTCTAAAAAAGCATTTTCTGGGCTAGAATTCTGCATCCATTCAACTACTGCTATTTATGGTGACTACATGCCTCTCACTAGATCAGATACATTAGGAACATTATAAAGGAGACTAGGAGACTAGGCAGTGGCTATGGCTATGAATATGGCTATGAGTAAAATAAACTCTGCATTTCCCATTGTATCATTTTCCTGAGTGAAGGGAAGCAGAGGGGGTTTCCTGACACAAACAAGATGTTGAGGGAGGGGAGTGACAGCAGAAAAGGAAACTGGATGATCTTTAAATGCCCCTTTCAACCCAAACCATTCTGTGATTCGGTGACATATGGACAAGGTGGCTTCCAGTAATCTAAAGGTCAGAGCACCAAACCCAGATGAAGACTGGAGGTATACAGGAAGGAAGTGGGGTAGCTGAATGTTCAGCTCCCACTACGTTTCCATGGAATACACTGAGACTAATGAAAGCACCGATGCCTCCAGCTCCAACAGACAATGATATTTCAGTCATTAGGAGACACTTTGCCACACTGCATCCCAGCCATGTTGTCTAACTCCACTTGAGGGCATTATGTCCATTACGTTTCTTTCAAAAAGCACAGTTTGAATAGTTACAGGCATTTAAGGAATCAGAAAGAATACCATGGATCAATCTTCCCAATTTAATCATTTCTCTTCCATCAGCTAATTATGTTGTTCTGACACAAAAAAGGAACAACAAAGAACTTAGACACTCTCTGCAGATTCTCCCTTTTTTTTCCCATGAACATGAGTGTGAATATGGGCAGGCCATATTAATTCACCAATGGAAACTGGCAGTCATCATCCTCATCTGGTCAGGCCATTGTTCTTAACAGGAAAGAACAGGATTTCGAGCAACTAACCCTACAGTAAGATACTCTGCTCCCAGTCACTAAGCAACTTGATTTTGCAAAGCCATAGAAATACAAAGGGGATGCACATACCCTCAGTTAGCTACACAACTGAGTCCACACTTGGGAGTCAGATCAGCTCATTATCTATACAAGAAGCTCTCAGACAGAGCAGGTCCAAGTTCCAAGCTGGAAACCAAACAGGTGGCTCACCTAATTTGCTTTCATCTCACATTGTAGACTCAATTTGAGAGCTCTCAACTTTCCTTGATGCCAGGTATACTTGTAAGGTAGGCTTCTGACTCAGCACCAGTCAGATGTGATGGCCACTGCTGTGACATGCCTGCTTCTGGTTTCAAATGATATATCACTGTTGTGCTTCTCTTTCAAGAGTTCTTTCCTCTTTGCTTAAACCTTGCATCTTCCCACCAGCTTGCATGATTTCTGTGCAGCACTGCTAACGAGGCTGCACTTGGAGCAGCTTAAGGCACAGTCCACTCTGTGTGCCGTGTGGCATTTGGTATTTCTCTTTGATAATTTAAAGGAGAAGAAAAGACCCAGAGGTGTTATTTATTCAGTTCAGAAGTAGCATGTTACCACTAACATGCAAACACCATTACTTAGCACCAAGAATCCATTATCCTTAGAAAAGAAATCGCATGCTCTTTTGAAATAGAAAGAAATGCTGCTGATGAGTATGTTCTCAGCAGTAGCACAAGGTGGAAGTTTTTGCTCTTCCTCCCCCACCTTCCATTCTTATTCAGGGTTGTAGAGTATGAGATGAGCAATGCGACCTTGCAGTGACAGAATTTTAATGTATGTCTAGTGCACCAAAGCAACACAGCAGCATCTCTCTTCTCAGTGTTGCTATGTACTCTACACATTTATGCAACGCTGCTTCACATCCTCAAGGCTGTCCTTACCTAGGGTCAGCTGTAAAGAACACAGAATGTATTTATTGAACTGTCAAAGCTACTTACAGCTAGCATGGAGAACTATATATACTCCACGATTCTGGTGAAAAAGAAGTAAAGCCATTCCAAACCCCAAAGCTGCAAAACAGAAGTAGATGTTTTTTGACACAAGTTAACTAGAAGGAATCAATAGTGAATTTATTTCAAGTAAATTACTTATTTCCAAGGTGTTTTACTAAAATATACCAGTTTTCTTCTGTGCTTTAGCTTTCAGTTGACCACTGAAAGGCTATCTCTGTATACAACAGTTCTCAAACCCCAGAGAGAATTAGCATCCACATCCAGGCAATAGGGTTTGCTTTTAATTTCTGCTACTGAAGAGCCAGGGAGAATGTCTCCCACCTTCCCCTTTGCTTCCACGTTCTAAATATTTCAAGCTGTTCATGTGCTGGAATTCATCATCCTCCCCTGCCCGCCTCGGTTTGCTCCTCAGCTGACAGCTTCAGGAGCTACTCACAGATCCCCCTCTCCTGGTGTAACAGTGCAGATCATTAGGAAGAAGGTACAGATTTGGGGCTGTAGGAAAGCCAGACTTTTGCCAGAAAGAGGCACTTAAAATACTTAATAGTACTTTTCACAAGGTATGACACACCCTGAAATCTAAGGACTCTATTAAGAGGCAATCTGCAATTGGGATGGGTTGCTTTCTCCAGCTTTCTCCTTGTATTCCCCAAAGAATAGGGCAGATCCTTCGCTATTTCTACAGCATACAGATAGAATCATAGCATCATCCAGGTGGAAAAGACCTCAAAGATAATCTAGCCCAACCATGCCCACTAAACCATGTCCCCATTATATGATCCTTTCAGACAATATAATGCTTCAGACACTGCAAAGCTTGAGCATTCACTACAGTGAAGTTTAGAGCTATTCCTAACCTCAGAAATAGTCCACAGGATGAAAACATATCCCATACCTCCTACAACAAGGGTGATGCAATTAGCAGAATGAGAAATCTTTACAAACACTCAAACAGCTCCTGAAGAAGCATTTGTTGCTCAAAATCTGGTGCTTTCATTGTACGTGCCAGTCTAGCAGAGCACACAGGTTTCCTATAAAGGAAAACCCAGACTTTCTGGAATTTATTGTGCTTAGTACAGGAACAACCTCTTTATGGGAATGAAAAGTCTCATTTCAGCTCCATGTGTTTCACCAGTGCATTATCACAGTGATCTTAATTAAATACACCAACAGCAGAGATGACTCAAACTCCAAATCACCATTCAGAGTTGAGTCCTCAGCTGTTTTCTATATAACCCTGATAAATGCACGTTCATTACAGAAAAGCTCAGTTCAGCACGGGTGCCAGTGGCATTTTGATTAAACTTTGCTTTAAAATCCTCTTTGTTAAAACAATAAAACTGCTTTTATTTGTGAGGGGTGGGAAACTGCAGACAAATCAGATGCATAATCCAGAGAAGAACAGATCCAGCTTGCCTTAAATCACACTGGCATGTTTATGAAATGATTGCCAGACTGAAGTGAAAATTAATCTCCCTAGAAGCTCTTTTATTTTTTAAACAAGTAAACATTGCATTTGAATAACTTTGCTCTGACTTAAGGGGCTCAGACTCCTACTGACAATGACTACTTAGCCTCCTGCTGGCTTTTGTAAGCAACTTCTTGTAGTTTGAAACTACAACCTGGTGTGCAGTGTTGAGCAAAGGCTTTTCTCTTAGGCTGCTTCTTGGATTTGTTAGGCTTTTACAGCTCAATTACCACTCCCCAAGAGGCCAGCCTACCACTCATATTATCTGCACCTTCACAGTCAGCTCCAAACTGCTTCCTCACTTCCGTGCTAAAGGCATTAGAAGCAAAAGGACAGTTCTGCACCTGGCTGCAGAGAATGCTCACAAGTTGCTCTGAGTTTATATCAGCCTGTGTGTGCACACAAGCATATATAGATATATATTGATCTGCGAGATCAATGGTGCCAAGTTGCACCAGGAGTAGTTCAGGCTGCCTATGAGCAAAAGCAAGCTCACCAAAAAGTGGTTGGGCACTGGAACAAGATGCCCAGGAAATTAGTGGAGTCACTGTCCCTGGAGCTATTCAAGGAATGTGCAGATGTGGTACTTAGGGACATGGTTTAGTGGGCAATATTAATGGTAGAAGGACAGCTGGAGTAAATGATCTTAGAGGATTTTTCCAAACTTAGTGAGATTACAATTCTGTGAGTCTACAATAACAGGTGAAGACCTGCAACAAAGAATAATTATGGGAGTTGAGTGCTGAGGCAGAGAGACCATTGTAGGGATGCAGTGTGTGACCCCCAGTGCTGCTGGAAGCTGAATATGCGCAGTGTTTCCATACATCTTCACATCAGGCTTATGTGGGCAGGAGTCTTCAAACAGAAAGGATTTATCTTTTTTTTCCTTTCACAGCAACTGTTCTCTAGTTTGGTGTGGCAAAACAATACGCGTTTTGTTGGAAAGCAGATTTGGCTTAACATTTCTACCAGTGCTCTAAGCAGTGCAGTCAGCAGCAAGGGGGATGTGGTACATCCTGCTCTCCTCTCCTCAGCCTAGGTTCAAGGATGTGCACAGGGATCTCTCGGTCCTTCTAATCCTGTCTCCTAGAAGAGCAGATAAAAGGACAAGGAAGAAATCATGTACACTGAGTGCTCTAAGCAGAAACGGGGTTGCAAGGCGAAAAGACTCCAAACTCAGGGCTGGAATAACCATCCTGGAGGAATGGAGCGGAATGCAGGCCTCTGAGGTGCAGGCTGCTTCCCATGGCTCATCTCTGCAGCCCTTCACTATGGTAGCAAACACTTACTCAGACAGGCGAGCTCAGTGATGTGGGACCAGGACTGCCTGGGGAAGTCTGATGAATGCAGCTGTGCAAAGCTCCAGCTCTCACATTGCTGGGCTGGGCTTTCTTTGCAGAGAAAGGGTTTGGCTTCCATCATGGCATGAAAAAACTCTCCTGTTTTAAATAAAAATCCCAAAACATTTATGATGAATAAAGCACAAAGATGCCACTGAGGGTCTGTAGCTTCGGGACAAGTGAGCAAGAAGTAGCACAATACATGGTGGGATTCTTCCCCTGTCAGCAGGAAGCTTATGGCAGACTCACTCCCAGGACACAAATGTAACACGTAAAGAGACATTAAATAGCATAAATTCAACTGAACAGTAAAAGTGGAATTAGGTGCTGCCAGCCTTCATTTACTTGCCTGGCAAAGAGTTATATTTTCATGTACATTTGGTGTACATATAAAAACTGTATGCAGTTTAAAAGCAAGTTCAGCTTGATTTTGCAAGCTAAAGTGAAACATTACAAAGCAGCAAGGAGAATGCAGACCAACTGCTTTTATAAATAACATTTGCCACTGCTGAGGTCAAGTCACAGTCACTCACCCTTAGACTTTCTGCTTCTCTAAAGAGCACAGTGCAAAGAAAAGGAAAAAAAGCAACGGACACTTTAACTTTCCACCAAACCCACACTCATCCAGTCTAGTAATACCCACGTGAGCAACAGAAAGGTTCAGTCAAATGAAAGAAACTGCAAAAAATAGAACACAAATACAGCTCAATAGCAACTACAGAAACCTGCTAAAGGTGCACTGAAGAGATCCTGTAACATTCATTACATCTCACAACTCTCCAGACAGGTAGACAGTCCCCAGCCTGTCAGCTGGGGTCAGCTGAGCTTGGCACAGGACAAGACTGCCAGCTTCTTGCTCTGACAGCACTGCTAATGTAACAACAGGGGATAACATTCCTCCACGCAGTGTCAGCTCCTGCTAGAATTCAGCACAAGAGTACAGTGCTATTATTAATTATAAAGCACTACCTATGTAACAGCTGAGCCAGAAAGGATAACCTGCATTAGCGCAGAGCTTGCTACAAAACTAACTGCTCATTATGCAGTAAGGGAACTGGTAGCTATCAGAGGAGATGTGAAACCACAAAGAACATCATTGAGATTAGCAGACTCTATACCATATTTAAAAAACATTAGATGCTAGATATTAAAACAAGAGAAAAATGATCACTGTGTGGTTGTGGCTAACAGATGGAGTCGTGATTTCAATCACAGTCATGATTTCAATCATGCTTTAAGCTAACAGCAAACAAACAAAAAAGCCTGCAATACAGACAATACCTGATTATGCATTTTGCCATCAGTGCTGTGCTTATTATGAAATCCACACAGGCAGTATAAGGAAAAATATTAATAATTAAAGAAGAACTGGTACTGTTCTGTGTACCTCTTGTTTATAGGGACAAGATGAAGGAGATCCAATGGGAAAATAATGATTCAGACTTAAAAATAAATAAATAAATAAAAATCACAAGCTGCAGTGTAGGCTTCCATCTCACACTTCAATTTTGGGTTCTCTCTCCTCTAGGCTACTTAAAGAATTCTCATCAGTAGAAATTAGTCCATCTCTGGCTCTTCCCTTCCCTCCTCAATTTCAAATTGAGCAGAGTCAGAGGCAAGAACTTCAGTGCAAAGTCCAGGCAGTAAAAAACATCCCTGCGGGGCCGTGCTGCTGCACTGAATCCAGCTGCACCATTTTGAGCAACTCCTGAGCAGAAACTGTCATGGAAAAGACCAAATACACGTTCACTAGTTACACACACAACATGCCACAACACCACCTACCAGAGAGAAGCTTGCCTCTGTCCGCTGAAACCCATACTTGAAGAATCCTGTATAGAGCCTGTGCTGTGAGAAATTACTGATTTGTTTTTACTAAAATGAAAAATGCATGCATTGGAAAGCTCTATGCTGAATCAAATACACTGTGCTAAATACAGGTGAACTGTGATATGAGGGATGCTGAGCAATCATAGACCTGCACATGCTGCAGACATTACAGGCTTTGCTCCTGGGCAGCTGCTGAAGGGCCAGGTTTTCAGCAAGAGTAAAGCAATGCTGTTGTATTAAGATGCTCTAGATTGTGGTGTATTTATGTGAACTATGTGACTGACTCCAGCTTAAATATCCCTTTCTTGGCAAAATAATACGAGAAAGAAGGTCAAGAGAAAATAAGAGAAATTGGTTTGGCTACCGAATTGAGTAAGTAAAATGCTGCTACTCTGAATCAAAGAATTTTTGAAGTGTCCGTTTCAACCTCATGGCAACTATGAGAGTCAGGAAAGCAGCTGTGGTAATGAGAAGGGAAGAAGACCTTAAATTTGGATGTTTCAGACCCTCCCTTTTAGAACACACTGAAAACTGCAAATCCTGCAAAGTTTGTATCTGTACACAAGATGCTAAGAGCCATAGTAAAGAAAGCTTTACTCCTACCCTGCTGCAGATCTGGACTAATGCTGCTTTCAGGGACACCAATGGGACTGAACAAACAAGAGATCAGTGAGACTGAACAACAAGCATGACTCCAGCAACGGTAGTCAAAGGACCGCAGTCAACCAAAGACATTCCACAACTGCTAAAATAGGATTTCAGCCTGCTGCATTGTACATTAATCACTAAGAACATCTGAATGCTGTAAGTATTTGACATTCAGGGCATGTGAGTGCAAAGTGAGTGCAACTTCCATGCTGAGCCTGTGGTATAATAAAACATCATATCCTGTCTCCTCCTGTTAATCGCTTTTCTTGCTCCATCTTTCTGGCTGCATAAATCACACTTATTCTGCAAACTCACTGAATGCTGAATTGATGCTAGATACTGAGTTTTCCAGGTACAGCTGTTTCCTTGCCAAAAGGCTGTGATATACATCATGGCTGAGTCTGCCCAAAGGTGCTAGGGCTGTTGTGCTCACTTTTCCTTACGTTGATTTACATCTTCCCCTAAATTCCCTCTCTCCTCTATTCAAAGTGGGAATATTGATACTCATTACAGAGTATGTTTGAAATACAGAATCCCAGTTTTGTAACGCCTAAAACCTTGAATATGGAGTGTCTGCACTCCAAAGTCACAAGGTCTATAGGCCAACAAAAGCAACAGTTGTTTGAAATGCCCTATGACTTGTCATTTGGATTAACCTGGGGGTTTCGTTTATTGATCCAACTTCAGAAGATTGAAGTGGAAGAACATTCCACAGATTTTTCTTCCACTGGCTTTTAAAGCAACTGCATTTATCCCCAGCATTAGTACTTTTTAATTAACAGAAACAATTCCAAAGAATCACCGCTGCCACAAATACTGTGTGAGCACATTTGGCTTTGAGCATGAGTACTTAATATTTGTTGGTATACTGCCATATCCATCATTTTCCAGAGTCTTAAATAATCATAAATAAGAAAAACTGTGCTACTCTTTGGTACATTTCTGTTTAAACCACAGTGGAACTTTAAAGTTATACAAACAAAAAATTGCACTTTTATCTTCTAGAGATTCTTCCAAGTCCAACAGACTTTCAGCTGAAGGACTCTTTATTATACTCAAACCTCGTCCCGTAAGGGTTGCTGCTGTTGCTCAGTTTATGAAGTATCTTAGACATCTTGCTTGGGCCACAACAGAAAACTCCAATGGTTTTCCTGTTAAAAAAAAAGAAAAAAGTTACAACTTTGCCAAGAAGCAGTGACTTATAACAACTGACAGAACTGGATTCTAAGTCTCACTGAATTATACAAATGCCCACTGTGCAAAGATTTCAGGGTGAGAACAGCTCACAAGGTCATGTAACTCATATTAAAGAAGCCAGTATCCTAGCATCAAACTCTGTTACATATTTTGACAGCGATAACTCTTGCAGAAAAGTACCTCATCTCAGCCTCAAGATACCAAGCACGAAAAAACTAGTACATCCCACTCTCTTTTTTTCTATAATTAATCACTTTCTTTTTTGTTAACGTGTCTCATCGTAACGACTTCTTCATTGTAACTTGTGATTTACACTGGCAGGGGATCTGGCCACTAGTGATGATTTGTTACACTAATGAAAGCAGAGCACTACTAACACATGATTATTTCTGTCAGTAGCAGGACAACTTCACTGCATTCATTTCACACTACCATGCAGTCTTTCCTCCATCAGCTGCACTGGAAAGCCTTGTGAAAAGCCAGAAAAGAATAAGACCTTTGCTCATCATCAATAGCTATCAGGTGATATGTCAGCACTCCGCTGACATCACCACTTTGCTCTCTGGTCACATTAAACACAGACTTGAAGTCAGACTCATGGTCACACTACCTTTAATGGCTCAAGGCAGAAGAACAAGGCATGTATACAACAGCAGGACTGAGCCACTCATGATATTCATCACCTCCTTTTTTTTTTTTTTTACAGATGAAGAAACGAGTATGGATGGAGCAGGGAAAGATGACACAGTGCTGTCTCTTCTATATTATTAAAATAAATTCTTCATCATCCTGCTGAAATTGTGGCACCGCACAGAAAATTTTGTATGATTTACTGGGATGGAGAGAGAACACAAAAGCGAATATGGTTCTAACTATTAAGATTTACAGCATTCACAGGAGGCTGAAGACTTGAATTCTGCTCCTTGCCTCAGGACTACCTTAGTATTTGTCCAGTGACTAATATAACATGTCTTAGCACACAAGGATACTCAAATGCACAGTTTAATGGTGCCTGTATACGTATTTGGTGAGAGAATCAGAAAATTAATGCATAGAAAAAGAAATCTTGGATGCATACTGCCAAGTGTATGTGCTCAACGTTAAGCAGCAGCCCACAAAGCACAGCATGCATACATGCTGTATAACTGCATACAAAAACTGGCTTAGCACATCTGAGGACTCAGACATCAAAAAGCATCACAAAGTTACAGAGGTAACAGCAACTGTGTCATTGTGTAGGCACCTTACAATGCTCTCACAGCAAGCCATGGCAAATATTCATACTCTTTTTTTCTCGTTCCTATATGTATCTACTGAACTCCTCTCTCCTGGCAGAACTTCTTTTAATGGCAAAGGATGGTTGCACTGGTGGTTGGATTCGCAGAAATAATGAGAAAGCTACTGCTTGTTCTCAAACAAAATTCCACTAGAAGAATCTGAACATCCTCTGTTCTGTGCACAGAGAATAAAAGGGTGTGCAAGCTGCCAGAAAGAATCTGTTTCCTACTGCGCATTTGACTGAATGTTATTGTTTTCATTAGTCTAACTAGTATAGACAACTGCTGAATAAAACCCAGAATTCATCTGCCTTTCTCCCTTTCATTTTCATTCATACATACCTCCCAAGCACAGACATACCTAAGCAGTGTACAAATGTCTAAGCAGCACATTCTGCTAATGTACCCCCATCCCAGCAACATCCTTCCAAAGTAAACAGAATGGCTGGAGGGTAAAGAGTTGCAGAAAAGTGAAGTGATCTGCCTAAGGTAACACAAGAGATCTGTGGTTGACTCACAAGGTCTCCAGAAACACTAATTCCTTTACCCCAGGGATTCCCAGGGATACCCCCCTTGACGGCTATTCTGGACATCACTCCAGGTACCACTTACCTCCCACAATTCACCTCCCACATTCTGCCCTACTTATGCCCACCACGTCCCTATTTGCAGGGAAAACTGATATACTTTGCTACTCAAAAGATGACAGACTCAGAGTTGAAATATTCCAGTTTTTTTAATTCCACGTTAGATATTCCTCATATTCCATATTACATTATTCCTCATAGAGAGGAATATCTTCTTCATAGTGCATGGGAAATGTACTGTGGTGCTCCATGCCTTCCTTTCTTATGGATATTTATATCATTTTCTAGGTCAGAATCCATCTCAAAAAATCTACTTGAACTAAACAAAGCTAAGAAAGCACAGCAGCACTGGCATGGTGTAAGCTTTGCACTCAGGCTACAACTGACCAGAAACAAGTGCTGCTCTGTCCTAGGAAAAAAAACAAACCAAAACAACAAGAAAAACAAGACTAATAATTTATTACATAAAGTCCCAGCGTGCATCTTTGGGACTGCAGATGCCATATAAAATATCAACAGTAGATGGCATGAGTCTGCCCTGCTTTCTTCAGAGGAAAGAGTTAGGAAACTGATGCTGGGTTGACCAATGTCATGCTCTGAAGCTTTGGCAAAGCTCACACTTACAAATGCACTTTGACTATTTGGGACTCAAACAGCAACAACAGCAACAATCCACAAACCACAAAGCAATCAGGTGGTTAAACTGATGAGAGGTTTGCCAGCTGTGTGTTTATTTATGCACAGCTTTTACTAAAATCACAAGATAAAAAATGGAAAACATCTTGCCTTCTTGGCTGCCCATAAACAAACCCAAGGGGTTGATTACAAATGCATGTGAACAATTGAACACTGGCACCAGATGCTGGAAAAAACTTGGTTGCCCAGCTTCTTTTTTTTGGTATCCATAATATGACAGGGTTGTTTAGGTGGAATAATAGGAATTGGAATAAAGTTAGTAGGAGACTAGAAAATTGGAAGACTTAGACTACAGAGAAAAATGCCTTCTTCAGGGAAACAGAGAGAACATTCATCTCTAGCATCTGAATATCTCCGGGATACTGAGTTACAGGTCGTACTATCTATCTATCATCTAGATGTCCTACATCAGCATACAGGTAACTGTATCTATAAAGAACTACCTGTATCTATAAATTGTGGTAAATGGATGACAGATGGTGAGAAAGCCTACATCTCAGCCAGCTGCAGGATGATCAAAATACGCAGAACATTATTTAGGAAATGAAAGACATCTCACTTAGAAATGGTGGCACAATTCAAAGACCTGACATGAAAATGCAGAGCAAATGGCACTTGAAAGGTCTAATTACGTATAATGCAACAGAAAGCACAAAAGAAAAAGCAAGTAGGACTACCACTAAAAGCTTCATCCATATTCTGTGCTATTGCAACCTTGCATGGAAGTGGCAGAAGCACCACCATTTCCATTTTTATTTTATAAAACTTGGTTTGCACCGTTAAACAAAAAAAGATACTGTAATGTACCAGAAAAGGCTAACAGTTCTCTATACAGGAGCTTGAGACAAAGCTAACTTGCTTTTCTGCCCTCTCTATTTAACTTTCCTTCCCATGGATCTCTACTACAAAACCCTATTTAAGTGGTATTCACCTGCTTTGCAGCAGTCTTTGAGGCATTCTGGGCAAGGAACCCTTTCTACAACATCCTTCCTCTAGGATGTGAACCAACTTTATTCACTACCAACAGTGCAACATACAGCTTACTTAATATTACTCAAGATACAAGGCTCAATATTCCATATTCATATTCAGCTCCAGAAGAATCAATAAGCCATGGGCAACAGGTCAGAAGTGAAACAGAAGACAAAATCTTTTTGACGTTAGTGAGTGAGACTAGCAGAGTACCTCTCACACTGGTGCACCCAGATTTCCTTCGACAGCTACTGCAGGTAACCTGCTCCTACCCTACTGACTTTGACAGAAGTGGAATAGGGAAAACTCGTATGATCTTTTCTTTGAAACCAGCTTTTGAGGGTGTCAGTAGGGTGTCACATAACCAATCAATAAAGCTGTATCTGGAAAATATATTCCATGGTCTAAATGTATGTCTTCTCTGGTTTACAATTGTCTTGTTTTAGACTGAACTATAGAACAGTAAAAAAGCATTGCCAGGTCTTAACAAAGAACAAAGAAGTGTCAGAAATCCCCAAAGACAATATATCCTCAGAATAAAAACAATACAGGGCAGTCAGAGTCTTTCTCATGCAATTTATTTTTTTGTAATCCAGTTCCTTTCATCTGTCCCTGACAAAGAGTCCCTTCCCAGCTTTTCTGTGGGCTCCTTTAGGTATTGGAAGGCCACACTGAGGTCTTCCTGGAGTTTTCTCCAGACTGAAAAAGCCCAGCTTAGCCTGTCTTCAAAGGAGAGGTGCTCCAGCCCTCTAAGCATCTTCACGGCTCTCTTCTGGACTTGTTCCTACAGCTCCACATCCTTCTTGTCTGTCTTGGATGCACTACTGCAGGTGGGGTCTCAAGAGGAAAAACAGAAGTGGCCAATCACCTACCTGAACTGCTGGCCACCCTACTTTTACTGCAGTCCAGAATACAGTTAGCTTTCTAGGCTACAAGTTCATCCTGCCATGTCAGGTTGAGCTTCTCGTCCATCAGCTCTCAAAAGACATCCTCCTCAGGGTTGCTTTCAATACAACTTCTGCCCAGCCTGAATTTGTGCTCAGGATTGCCCTGACCCATGTTTCAGTTTGTGCAGGCAATCTCTCACAGCAAAAATACTAGCTAATTTCAACATTACTACCTTGAACATTACACTCTAAGATAAAACTCAAAAAACATTTTCATACAAACACAGCTGCAAAGATCTAATATCCCCATCCTTCAGACTGTGGCATCCTACAAGAAGACTGGTACTCACCGCCTGTTATACTTTGCTATTTCATCAAAAAGGAGTTTCCACCGGGGTCGTCCAATCAAAAGCCTTGAGTTTAGAGCTTGATATTTTTCACCAATTATCTTCTGCAAGGAAAGAAAAATTCCATACTGCCTGATTTGCAGATTGCCTCATATTACCCAGGGATCCCATTTCTGACACTGCCCAACCTGACATATTGATGAGGTGTAAAACCTGAACACAAGTATCAGACAGTTGTGATTAAAATTGGAGTTATTTCATGCATCACCTCTGCTCACTGCCTTTTCAATGGGTCTCCTTGGTGTTTGCTATACACTTCATGCAGCTGCTCATTAATCTACTCATTATTTTTAAACCAATTTATTTGAACCACAAAACAATAACTGTGCTCCTATTATTCATTCCCTCGTTGGCCTTTAATGCTTAGCTGGAAGAAACACTGCTGATGCAAAAAATTTATTTGTTTTGTCGTTTTGTTTTTTTTTTCCACTTCATACAAGTAACTACTAAGACCAGGCCTGAAAACATAACTAGGGAAATCTCCCATTTCTCCCTGAGAGTCGTTTGCCAGCTGCTTTGTGCTGCTTCAACAGTAGAAAACAGCCAAAATCAGTCCCCATGTGGAACCCAACTCATTCCAGCAGCACTAGGTCACCAGCACTTTACAAGGTCAAATGCCCTTCCATTGCAGGGCATTACCTTTCCTAGGTTTTGTGATCCACTACAATAGGAATGGAGAGGGGAATTACATCTTCTCCAGGCTCCCACATTCCCTCCACTGCTGAATGATTTGAAACATGGCTCACGCCAATGCAAATACAGGCTTGGCCAACTCATCCTCCAGTGGCCTTTTATATTCAAGAGGTATTTGCTGAAGGATGGAATTGACTGCCTGTTGACACACTGGCATACTACTCCTGAGCAAAGGGAGCATGAAATGAAACTGCCCTGATTTTGGTAGCAGTCAGTACTTGGACTGACTTCAGTGAACACATAAGCTGTAAGACAATGGAGAGTAGAGTTTAACATCCCCTTGAGAAATCATGAGCAGCATTATAGCTCATGCCAGCTTTGTTCAACAGCCACAAAAGAAAAGTGACTTTAAAGGAAGACTTAAAACAAAGTTGACTTAAATAATAAATTCATAATCTGCTTCAAACACAGTATCAGAAAACTTACACTGAATTGTCTGTTATTACAATCTTGCTGTGTCTTTGCCACACAATCCTGCTTCAAGTTTAATTTTAACCTTACTGCTTACCAGGTTCACAATTAGGTAATTTTCAAGCAGTCCATTCAAGATGACATGTCATCCAGGCATTAAATCTGTTCATAACTGCTGTAGCTATCACATTATCTAAACTATTTCAAAGTGCCTGTGCTGGAGCTATAAATATTATTCTGCCTCTACCTGATACCAGGTAGATCAAAATTCTCCGGGCATGGCTTCTCACTGCATTTCATGTTTTGCAGTAATTGTCAGGCTCACTCCTGGGCCTGTGGCAGTGAATGGTGAAGCTTCCAGATGCAGTACAGTCAAGCTCAGGATTGTGTGCTAAATAATGTAAAATGAAGATCATAAGCATAAAGAGCTATGGGAGATTACAGGAGTAGAGGAATAAGCACAGTACTGTGGTTTATAGTATGACATTGACAGTTCAGAATAATTTCCAGTCTCATGCATCAAAGAATTTGTAACTTCTATATCTCAGACAAAACCGATCAGAAGCTTTCAAAAGTAGCTAGCTTCTCTCAAAATATTTAGTTTAGAAGGAGATCTGAGCCACCACGCTCCTACAACTATCCTGCTTTGATTCTTAGCCCAGCAATGATTTAGATTTCCCATCAAAACCTGCCAACTGTCTGGTCTGTGGCCTGGCCTGGAAGGACCTCTTTCCTAGAAAAGGAAGATATGGATTTTTGCCCACATATAATCAAGTTAAGACTGCTAGACTAGATTCTCTTAATGCGGTGGGGAGGAACTTGCTCTCCTGCCCTACTAATGAATCAATCACTAGAGTTTATAGCCTCATTTCCTGTTTTGGCCATCTGCAGTAACTCTCTTTTGCATATGACTGACAGTTTGCATTGTCTGCTACCCCAAGGTCTACTTTGGTTTACAAACAGTTTTTAACCACATACCTGTATTCCATCTGTCTGACTGAGGTACAGCTGGATGTTTATATAGTCTGGTCGATTCTCTTGCCAGAGCTGGGAGGATGATAAAAACAGCTAGTGAAATAATATCCTTTCTTTTAATATAAGTATAAAGTAACTTGTGACTACTATCTTGATAGACTGAAGTTTCAGCATCAGTGAAGTAAGCTTTTTAATGAAGATGTGCTTGCATAGCATCCCTCTGTGCAGTCCAGAATGCTGCCCATCAGGCTGTGAACAAAGTATTATTTTAGAAAGCTACACTGCTTTTAAAATCCACTTAAAATTGTAAAACCCTCTCCCTTCTCAATCTGCGTATGAACCAAAAAGCAAAAGCCACTCAGACTCCCCAACTTGGCATGTTCTTCTTCTATCTCATAAATTTCACAGATAATTCTCCAGCAATAATGTGCAGTGAAATACTATGAGATATACTCAAACTGCTTTGTGGAGCTTCAAGCACAATGGAGTGTGGGTCAGGTAACTCAGGCAAAGCTGCAGTTTGCTTGCATTCTCTATAGCATGCCAGCTGTAGAGTGAACAAATTTTGCATTTATTACATTATCAGCATCCTTCCAAGCAACACCTATTACCTTGTTATGCAACATACAGAGCAAATCTGCAAACCAGCGGAAAGATTCGACGTCCCTGCATACCCAGATGAAGTAGAGTCTTCTCAGTTTGTAGCATTTCCAGTCATCACTTGAAAATGAGATGTTTGAAGAATTAAAAATTATCATTCAAGAAGAGAATGTCAACTAAGATGCTTTATATTCATTTGTGGAAACGCATTAGAAGCCAACTGCAAAGCTGTTTTTCATTTTGTGATCTATCAGACACTGAAATGATCAGCACGGTCCATGTGGATGATCATTAGAATAATAAATCTCAAGCACATGACCAACACCCCTCACAGAATGTGTTTCTGCATTGGAAGATGTCAAGTATACAGACAATTTGGGCTGCAAATATGGATTCATGCACCACCATCATCAGACTTTTATTTCAAAGCAAAGCAGACATTCTAAGTTCAAGTGTATTATGTCAAATGTTTATTAGATTTATAAAGCAACCCCTAGGAGAAAAATACTGACAAACACAGTAATGTCAGGACTAAATTCTGCCAATAAATGTGAAAGCCTGTGGTTGATTATAATACTGCAGCAGAATCACAAAGACCAATTCAAATTAGAGCTCCATTGTTCCAGGCAACTGTAAGAAACGCTACAGTCCTTCCAAAATGCTGGTGATAAAGTGCAGTCATGGACAGATTCTGACATTTTGTTTAGAAAAACATGAATATTATGTCAGATTTCGAAAGCAAACAAAATGCAACTGCAGCACAAAGGAAGTTTTGGAACAAACTGGAACAGGAAACAGAAATGAAAATAACCCTAATGATTAATGAGTTTAAACCAAACAAAAATGTCTAGGAAATCTTTTCTTAGCTAGCCAATGCTGTCTGCTGTTGTTTTGAACATTGAAATGTCCAGTGAACAGTTTGTGTCCACATCCTCTACACAGATTTTCAGACTGAGAAGATCACAGACTGCCGACTTCAAAAACCAGATCCAAGAGCCAACTTCAATGAAAAGGCTTCATAACACAACCCACCATATTATTAAAGTTGCTTGCAGACTCAGCCAGGTACTGTACTAACAGATACACATAAATGATAGATCCAGCTACTGTTCTACCTCCCCATGCCCTTTACTTACAGTATATGCCTAAGAAGCAAAGATGGAGATATTCTTAGGAACATATTGAGGCTGAGAACTCATATTTCACAGGTCACATGAAAAGAAAATGCATCAAGACTGGGGGGAGTGTGTCTTCCAAGTCCTCCTACTTTTCCTCCTACTCAGGATTTTCTTCTGATTGCTTCTAATACAAGCCCTTACAAAGGGTCATAGCCTGGTCAGATGTGACAAGATAACCATAAGCAGTAGTGAGGAAAGTAAGTGCCTTTCACCATTAAAGAAAAAAAAAAAGGATAAAAGAGAAAAATGTAAGGAATTTGTAAGGAATTACTATAGCTCAGCAACAGAATGCTACTCTTGGTGATGAAACACTGCAGCTGGACTGTAAGATTTTAGGAAACAAGTCAAGCACAAATTTAAAATCTCAACTCAGATAAACACACTTGGGTCTAACTTCAGGAGGATATATTAAGGTGAAATCTCTCATTGTAAACAAATCCAGATGTATACAGTACTTCTCACACATTTTTAAATGTTACCCCTGCCCATTCTCTCATTCCCCAATGGCTTTCTTTAATGTAAGTCATGATTTCTTAAAAATAGGGGGTAGGGTTCAGGAGTCAAGTGCAGGGAAGGGCAGGAATTAAATTGAGAACACAGAACAGGAACATAATTGAGCAGGAAACAAACGACTTTCCTGCTTGACAGGATTCTGATCTCTCTGAGGTCTGCATGTCCTTGACACCACAGGACTGGCTTCACTGCTCTGCAGCGCTGGCATCCTAAGGCAGTTTGCATTTTCACACCTGCCAAGTTCTTCTCAGCCAGGGCAACGACAATAGGCAACTCGTCCAGGACACTGGCGTTTTGTTGTTGATGTTTAAATACTGAGAATGAAAGCAGGTTGAGAGTGTTCTGTGTTTTGTTTTGTTTTTTTTTTCGTGTCTGGAATCATAGAATTATTCCCCTGTATAATGTTACAGTGAACAAGAGGAAGACGGGCTACAAAGTCAGATTATAGGATGGGCTGTTTGGAAACTTATTTATGGCTTTAACCAAAAGAACAGACTGCTGAAGTTTTTGGATGCTAAGTATCTGCACGAGTTCTTATAGCATCTAATAACACACTGCTAGAGGCAACCATCTCATTACCTGCTGATGTCCTATCATTTATGATCTGTGACACTTTTACTAAACATTGTCAAGGATAAAACATCCCAAGGAAAACGGTCAGCAAAACAGGCAGCTTACTCCTCTGGACTGTAAGCTTTAAGAAAAACTGTACCCACTTTTCACAGTTTTTCTCTTTGAGAAGATGTTCGATATACAGATAGGGAAAGAAAATGAAGGGGCCCAAGATGGACTCACAGGGATACACTATGAGACAGATGGGGTTGCTCATTTTCAGAAATGCTCAGCATTGGCAGGTCCAGCTCAGATCAAGGATGGAAGAACAACATGGCATTTAAATTGAGGTTTTAATTTCATTTTTGTGTTAGAATTGCACATTGGCACATCCATCTTAGTATAAATGCTTCAGATGTGTACTGTAAAGTGTTCCCAAAGCCATCCAGCCTTCTGAGACTTCAGGGAAGGACTGTTGCTTTGATTGGCTGTGATGTGAAATGGGGGTTCTTAAGTGACTGAAGATCTGAGCTAACATTCCAGGAAAAAAATAAAAATAAAAAAACCCATCAACAACAATCATAAAAACAAGCCTAACTCATGCAGGGTAACATTTTGGGGATCCATGTTGCCAGTGTGACAGAGAAGCAAGAGATGAAAGGTTTGGTTTGAAGAGAATTTCAAAGGTTTCATTTTAATAGAGAGGGAAGAAAGTAGAGAAAAAGGCATATCTACATTTTTAAATTTTCAGATAGAATTAAAATCCAAATACTATCTGAATCCATGTCAAGTCCATTCCTTTAAAACCCTAAGGGTGCACACTTACAAAATTCAAACAAAACATGAGAGTTGGCCTGCAATTCCGGCTGAAAGACTGTCACAAACTACTGACTGAAAAATAGACTCTATCACAGTCCACAGCTTCCTCTAAGCAGATGCTGGGCAACAAATCTAGCTGAAGGGTCTGTGGTTATAGCAAGCATCAATCATAGTCTATCTAGTGTAAGGGTATAAATATTATGCTATTGTCCAATTGATGTGCATTAGTAGCACAACTCTGCCAAACCCTGGTTTACATAACCCATGAGATTCCTTACGCTCCCAGATACCCTAGTCCTCTGCCCCTCTTCAGGGAAACATTCACTTGTGCTATGCTAAGTTTTGAAATACTCTGAGAACCCTTCTGACATGTACTATTATGGAAAATTGGAAAGGGAGAAGAAATGGCTTTACAAAGTTTAAGTTCACTTACAGCAGAGCGTTGAGAACTGATGCAAATGGTGTAACTCCAATACCACCAGCCACGCAGAGGCTGACTTCATAGTTCAAGGATTCCTCAAAGGGACTTCCAAAAGGTCCGTCCACATACAGTCTGCAAGAAAAGCAAAAAGAACACTTTTGGAGAAAGCTGCTAAAGGCTAAGTTGAAAGGGAAGAAGAAATAGGCTGGAATTAAAACTCTGCAAATAATTTGTTTCAATTTTTTTATTATTCTTGGGATGCAAAATATGAAAAGCTTTTTCCTGGAAAGCTTTGTGTGAATGAGGATTGTGGAGAGGAACTAATGTACAGGTGGTACAAAAAATTATGCCAGATAAAATTTCTTGGCATGACTGCCATGATTACACAAGCCTGTTTTAATTAAGCTGGTGGAGATGACTAAATTATGACTGCCTTTTCTACCCTTTCTGTCTGGTATTAGGGGACAAAGAAAGTGCTGCACTAGAAACAATAACAAGATGGCGGGCCATAAGCAGGAGCACAAAGAGTTTGGCTAACTCTGCCTAGAATGTTCATCTCTTGAACATCCGAAACAACTGAGATGGACAAAGGGATATGAAAATCTATTTTTCCTGGCTTCTCATTATGCTTTTCAAGGGCTTCCAGAGGAGAAAGAAGAGGTGACATATATTCATCTTGCAGCACTCAAAAGAAATGAATTAACATCTGTCTACTCCTTCATGCACAGACTCCTGAGAATGCGATCTACCCCAAACATGGAGAATATATGAAGAGGAAAAAAAAACACCACTGAGCTGTATCCCTTTAACTCATGCCCCTCAGTTTTACAACACTTTTGTCTAATTGCTTTTAAAAAGCACTTAGGAGACTAAGTCCCATTTCCAAACCAGTCTGAATATTTCAAAGACTGCTGAAAAGTCAGCCAACTGTAATTCAAAATGGGTCTTTACACATCTTCTCAGCTTCAATTTCCAAACTGTTGCTATACTGCTGAAGTCTGACCAAGGTCATCCATAGATAATCAAAATATATGATGGTAATTTTTCTAACAGAATCATAATAGAATCATAGAATCATGATAGAAGCACTGAATGGCCTGGGTTGAAAGAGCCCTTAAAGACCATCTAGTTCCAACCCCCATGACGCAGGCAGGGTTGCTACCCACTAGACCAGGCTGCCCAAGGCTCCATCCGAAGTAAGATTCATTTAAGGCCTATTCTGCCTATGTAATACCTAGTGCATCTTCTGACTTCAGTCACAGATTCACCTTTACAAATGAGAAACTCGAACAATGAGAGAACTCCAACAGCAAATCTAGTCAAGATTCATTCTGTATAGGAGAGCTAACCTAGGAGATTACTGGATCACCACATTTTAGGTAACCAGTGGGACCTGCACTGTGTTCAGCAGTGCAGCAACTCACAGTAAGACTGACTGCGATCAACCTTTGGCAAGACTCCTGAAAAAAGCTCCCATTTATACATTTTTATTCATAAACATACTACTAGAATTATGCAACAAGGCTAAGCATACTGCACATCTAAAAAATGGGCACAAGCTTCTTCTTAATACAATCAGACCGAATTAATAGCTAAGGAGATGTCACTTTTGCCAAAAGTGTCTTCCAATTCCTACCTGTTTCTTTCCTATTGAGGGCTGGCTCTTAACGTCATACAGTCTGATTCTCTTTCTTTTAGCTTTGTGGCTTGATCCTTGGCCTCTGACCATTCAAGACGATGTCTTGTCTGAGCAGCTAACACAATCCTTTTGGAAAAATTTCTTCCAGAGCTCTACTACTGCTGACATCTTGATGCTTTGTTAGACTCCTTATTCTAAAATGACTTATCTGAAGATGTTTAAGTATCTACGTTCTGATGGAGTTGCAGGTAAAGGGTCTGATCCCTTTCTATACTCTGTCTTATAATCTCCTCCTTGGCTCCTGGTGTTCTAAATGGAGAGAGAAGAAGAAGGCAGCTGGCCTATCATACCTAGTACCAGAATGCATCACAAGTGCCAGTAATAGTTACAGATTAGTAGAATTTCATAACTCATCAATCCCTAAATATGCTTATTCCTATTTCAGTCTTTATGTTCTGAAGTCAGAACAGTATTCTACAAACGTTATCTTGGAGAATCTAAAACTCTTTCAGTGTTAGGTATGTTAGTACCAGCATGATGAGAATACTAGAAAAACTAATTAATTCCTGAGTTAGGATGGATGAATTCATTTGCATAATGGGGCCAAGAAAAACTTAACTGGATGTGTGCATAAAATATAAACAGAATTTTAAGTGTCTTCTCATGAAATGATTCCTGTTACATAAAACTTCATTTCCCATTTGCTTACCAAGGGTTTATCTTCCACAAATAAAATGGAACTGCTGCTGGAGGACAGTGCAGCAGAAGCTTCTTTAAGAGATCTTCTCAATATTGCGCTATCGTTCAACTTGAAGAGGTAAAATGTCATCTCTTATCTAAATGAACAGCAGGGGCAATGTAGAGAAACAGGTAAATACTCTGACAGGAATTCAGTCCAGGGAAACTTTGAGATAAGTCTAGAAATGTTATGGGTCTCTGATGTGTGTCTGAATGGGGATCTAATTTGTGGATATCCAGGTTGGGCAAGAAGATCAAACTCTGTACTGAATCACCGAGAACAGCCACTGAAGTCCACTGCCAATCCTGGCATACTGCCTATACGTGTGCCCCTACACAGATCCTGCCCAGCTGGTAGAACTCGGAGATTCACTCCTGAAAGGCACTTAGGGCATAAGTACAGCCCTGAGGGCAACTTCTTACATTTCACACATGAAACACTTTCATTTCTATATACAGACTTAAAGCCAACATTTTGGGAGAAAACAAGCAAGCAAAGCAAAGGCAAACAAGCAAAGTACAATTTTCCCAGAAATGACCACGGCTGATGTGACTACAGTCATAAATTGCACGAATGCCATACAACGCACTCAGGCCAGCTTGAGGACTATCTGAAGTATGCATTGCTGACCTCACATGGGATTAAGAAACCTCTGGAAAGTGTGAGTGACGTTGAATATTACTGAGGTGTTCATAAACTGAAACGTGCAAAATTTGAAATCACTTTAAACCAGAAAAGCGTGTGCTCTATTTCATGCCAGAAATTCAAGAAGCAAGCTTCAATTAAACATGTATTTCGATCAGATTGCTCCAGTTCATGGCCTGTTAGCCAGGTCTGGCCTGCAAATTATTTCTTTCTGCCCACTGGTTCTTCTGACAACGGGGTGAGGAGCAGTTGTTTGGACAGCAAATGCAGTCAGAGGAGCCAAGGGCCTCCTGCTGTGCCTGCATGTGGCCCAGCACAGAAGAGCCAGAAGTCGCTGCTTCCAATTGTGAAAATGAACGAAAAAGCAGGAAAACTGCTGCTATTGCATTAACTCACTGCACCAGGCTGCTTGAGAAGACTGATTTGTAGAATCATAGAACGGCTTAGGTTGGAGGGGGCCTTAAATCATCTAGTTTTACAACCCCCCTGCCATGAAAGGATTGCCAACCACCACTTCAGGCTGCCCTGGATCCCATCCTACCTGCCCTAGAATACCTCCAGAGATGGGGCAACCACAGCTTCTCTGGGCATCCTGCTCCAGCAGATCACCACACTCTGCTTTAAAAAAAAAAAACAAAAACAACCTAACCTAAATTTCCCCTCATTTAGTCTAAAGCTACTTCCCCTTGCTCTGTCCCTATCACACAACATAAAAAGTTGGTCCCCCTCCTGCTTGTACGCTCCCTTCAAGTACTGAAGACTGCAATGTAGTCTCCTTTGAGCCTTCTCTCCAAGCCCAGTCCCCTCACCCTTTCCTCATAGGAGAGGTGCTCCAGCCCTCTGTTCATTTTAGTGCCCTCCTCTGGACCCGCTCCAAGAGCTCCATGTCCTTCCTGTACTGGGGGCCCCAGGCCTGGACGCAGTGCTGCAGATGGGGCCTCACAAGAGCCGAGCAGAGGGGGACAATCACCTTCCTGTCCCTGCTGGCCACCCCTTTCTTGATGCCAGGTTGCTGTTGGCCTTCCAGGCAGCAGGAGCACAATGCTGGCTCATAACCAGATTTTTGTTCATCAGAATCCTCAAATCCTTCCCCACAGGTTTGCTCTCAAAGAGTTCTTCTCCCAGGCTGTGTTCATGTCTGGGATTAAGAATTCAGAGGATAATATGACCTCTTGGGTTGACTTTGTTGAATGGATGCCATAAACATACTATTTAATCCCTGTTTACTATAGGAACAATTTATAACTGAAAGAAATGTGGCTCTGATGGCCTGATGGCAATGGTCAGATAGGATTTCAAGACAGAAGAAGAAGGGATCCTTTGGGTCTATAAATAGGATTTCAAGACAGAAGAAGAAATCTGATGCCATATCAAGCAGCAGAATGAAGAATGGAGCATGGATTCAGGCATGGGCTTCTGCAAAGATTATGCAACTTGCATTTCCTGTCAAAGTGCTCTTCATTTCATTTGGTGGAAATGCAAAGTTCTGAATAAAAGCAGTCATTATAAATGAAATCTCAAAGCTTCAGTAAGAAGACAGACAAGCCAAGGGAGATAAGATGGCTTTTTGTTTCTTCAGTTGCATCCCAGATATATCACACTACTATATTATGGTCCCCCCCTAAGCTTTAATTTTATTAACATGAAGGAAGGGAATGGAATTTTAGTAAAAGTTTAGCAATTCCCCTCCAGGCAAACTTATTCAAATTACAAGTTGTTCTTTTCATATGCATTCATTTCCAGACTTTTGAGTGCTTTCAGTAATTCTGGCACAACTTTTCAGCTCACAAAAAAGAAAAAAAGCCCTTCAGAACACGATATATCACAAAAATCAGCAGAACACCATATATAAAAGATAGATGGTGAATGTACTTTCTACTTAAAGCATACATATTCTACAGTATGGTAGAACAGAAATATCCCAGCAAGCACCAAGACAGTTTTTTCTTTTTTTTTTTTTTTACAGGGCAATGCAAGTGCAGTATCACATGGCTGTCCCTAAACTAACAGACATGGTCTTGGTGACACAGGCAGCTATTCTCTTCTGAAAGGAACTGCACAGGGATATGTGGAGGTACCTGTCCACATCTGTTCAGCTTGGATGACAGT